TGAAGAGATGTAGAACCGGGTTTTTCGACCTAAAGTAACAAGAATCGTTTGGTTAGTTTTGCTCATAGATTATGGGACTAATCTTCAAACCCACCGTGAGTGTGGCTGCCCAGGAAGTTTCTCCTCGTTCGCCAGATGCAGTGCAGGTGTAGGTACCAGAGTCACTAATTTGAAGGTCTAAAGGGACATTGAAATTGTAATTAAGGGAAACCAAGACTACTATCTCAATCTTACCATCGACTCTCAGTGAGCTGCCTTGGATGATGCTGTATCGATTGCCCGCTTGTACGGCATGTCCATTGTGGAACCACTTTATACGGGGACTGGGATTTCCAGTGGCGCGGCAGGGCAAAGTTGCCACTGATCCTTTGGGCAGTGTCTGATTGGCAGGTCCTATTTGAATAATCGGAGGAGGACGCTCGTCCACCGAGCTGACTTGCAGGAAAACTCGCACCGTGGATGAATCGACGACACTGAAAGCGGAACACACATAGTAGCCCTCGTCTTCCTGCCGCACATCCGTAATCTGCAGGGTTCCATCGGCAGCCACATGCTGCCTTCCGTGCGTGCTGTTTGGGAACATGAGACTGGATACTCCTTCCTTGGTCCAGAAAACAGACGGCGGAGGATTTCCGGAGGTCATGCAAGGCAGTTGGACAACGCCATTCAGTCCCACTTTCTTGTTACTGGGCCTTTTCGTAAAGTTGGGAGGAGCTTTAATGCAAAAAATGTAAGATTAAAAAGTTATTCTCTGAGAATGAAACTTAATCTTACCGTGCACTGTTAAGGCAGCTCTGGCGCTGATCTGACCGACATTGTTGTGGGCCTCGCAGACGTAGGTGCCCTCATCGGTGGGCGTTATGTTGGATATCTCCAAGCTTTTCTCGTCGTGAAGGATTCGCGCTCTGGACACTGGAATATTGCCCTCCTCCTTTTTCCATAGCACTTTCGGCGGTGGATCACCGCCCACTGAGCAGTGGAAAGTGGCAGTCTGTCCGTAGAGCATCACCTGATCCTTGGGCTCCTTCATAAAGTAGGGCTTGACCTGGACAATCAGCTTGGCATAGCTGCTCTCACGTGTGCCCACCAGATTCTGGGCAATGCACTTGTAGTTGCCCTCATCAATGGGCTCCACATTGCTGATCAGCAGGTTGCCACCATCCACAATTCGAACGCGGGAGCTAGCGCCAAACGACATGGCTTTCAGGTCGTCCAAGGGAACGCCGTCCTAAGAGCACAAAAAGCGGTTTAGCCAACTGATTTTCCCAGTCTGGTTTTGGGTACCCACCTTTATCCAAATCAGCGTTGGCTCTGGAATGCCTTTGGGCGGCCCACACTCCAGCAGAGCCGTCTCGCCTTTGGCCACTCGCGTGTCTTTGGGCTCCACGCGAAAATCGTCGCGCAAAACTGGCGAAGAAACATTGCAAAAATACATATAAAAAAAAAAATAAAAAAGCACATTATAATCGGAGACAAAGCTGGGCGTGTGGGCAGACAAGTTGCAGACTCGAGTGGCGGACTAACTTACCAGCTATCTGGAGCGAGGCATGGCGACTAACGGCCTGGCCCACTCGGTTCTTGGCCACGCACCAGTACTCTCCGCCGTCCTGCTCCTTCTTGCCCTGCATTGTCCTGTAGAAGAAGAGGGCGCCGTCCTTGAACTGGACGCGGTGCGATTTCTTTTCGTTGGTGTTGACGGGCTCGCCATCCTGAGAGCGTAAAGAAGATGGGGGTGATTGAGTTACGAATTGGTTAGGACTCGAAGGCTACACCGACAAAAACATTACTCAAAAGGTGATGTGTATTGAAAATGTTAAATAAGTGTATAAGCGATTAAAGATTATACAGCAATGAAATAAAAATTGTAGTTATATCAAGATAAAGTGCTCTTCTTTCAGTGTAGCGGTGATTCAAGTTAGAAAAGTACTATTTGGGGGTACCTTAAACCACTCGATGGTGGGTTCCGGCTTGCCCTCCACTTTGCAGTTGAGCGTGGCGGGTTCATTCTTCTTGACGACCAGATCCGTGGGATGCTCGATGATGCGCGGCGACTGGTACTGGCCTGCAAGGAGTAAGGTTGATGTGGATTAGCCACATAGCCAGGGGAGGATTGCCCCGGGTTGGGTTTACCTCTGACTGCTGGCAGGCCATTGCTGGCCACCAGGACGAGGAGCAGCCAGGCGGGCAGGAGCCACATCCTGCTGCTCCGACTGCGAGATGGGTTATTAGTGGTGCTCGTGCTCCGGGCGATGGCGTGGTTTTCGGGATGCATGGGATGCATTTTATGGTGGTGGTGCTGTTGCAATGACGACTCTACAGATGACCCAATGCAGCGGGTATCATTTTGGCGTTGTTTTGGGGTCCTGCGATGCATGATAGGTGATATGTGGGTTAACGAAATGTGGGCAGCTGTTACATATGTAGGCGTGGCGGCATTATGGCTTGGCATTAATGGGCTTTACTTGCTTTTTATCTGTCCGAAATTCGAAATTATTTCTCGCCTGCTCCACTTACGCATGCATTTCCATGCGATAAGCACACACACTCAGACACACACACTTGGGAACGCACACGCACACTCGCATACCCACACCCACACACGTATGGCTATGCTGGTTTTCCATTAATTTTATTTCCGTATTTATCTGTCTTTGTGTTTATCTCCCAGTCGCACCGAGCCGAAAATTTACAATCCAAATTCTGATTCGGAGTTTTGATTTCACGTTCTCACACTTTCTTTCTAACGCTTTTTTGTATCGCTCGTCGATTTGGTTTTTATATTTCTTTTTGGATTTTATTAATCAGCCGCGCAGTGTAAGTTTTTGTTGGTATTTATTCGACGATTGCTCGCTTTTCGGGGTTGTTTTCTCCATCATCTCTCCTCGCGCACATTTTCCACATTTCCCGAACGAAATTTCTTTTTGGTAAAATTACAAGAACAAGAACTGCCCCAGCGCCCCTCTCACTCGCACCCACACCCTTGCCAGCTGCCTCTCGCTCGCACCGCCTGCCGTTCCTGGGACTTCCCCCCGTTCCGCTTGTGTTGTTGTATCTATAACAGAGTGATGTATCTATAACTCCTTGTAATATTTGCTTTACATCCGCAGCAGCTGCACTTTGTAATCCCCGAAAACGAGCACCTATTTGAGATCTTAGCTTCGCGGTTGGATCGAACTTTCTTGGAGCCCCACTTACTCCAATTTAACTGTTGCAAATTAACAATTTTCCTGCTCTTCAGTGCGATTCACGGCGCAGCGAAAACTCACAATTGGACGTGGGTCGTGTCTGTGGAAATCTGAGAGCGCAACGGCCGGAATCGGAACTGGATGGCCAGTGCAGGGCGCAGCGGAACGGCTGGGAGGGCGGAACGCGCAAGGCGCCCCGATAAGGAATACTGGAAAATACCAGAAAACATATTTCTTATTTGGTCTGGCAGCGCCGGCTGGAGTCGCTATTTGAATTCAAAATTGGTTTCTATTAAACTGAAATTGAAAACGAAATTGCAAAATATAAAAGATTACTCATATTTAAATTCGAGTAATGATTGTGTTTTGAGTTAGCCTGGCGTTGCAGTTGAAAGGCTTACTAAAAAGGGCAGTTTTCTTTAGAGTATATATTTAATTTGTATATGGATGCTTAAATACGCTAATATGAAAATTTATGTTGGAGAAAGTGAATGATTGTAATGATAGTGGATAAATCCCGCACAACATTGAAGTGCAAGTTATTCCATTCTAGCCAGGTTTATTTTGCCCCTAGTCAAGGTCCTCGAGCGAACCACGTTGGAGAGGTTGGCCTCGAAGGCAGGCGGCCGGCTGCGTCCCGGATGGAAGTGGAAAGTGGGCTGAGTGGGCGGAGTGGGCGCCGGCGGGCGACGACCAGTCGGCTGGGCACTCTTCACCAGCTTGGGCTGGAGCTGCAGCCGCGACACTCTGTCCACGGACATGCTCTTGGGCCGCCGGGCCAGATATGTGTGGACGTGGCTATTGGAGCCGTGAGCAATGTTCAAGTTGATCAGGTACTCCTGCAGCTGCGCCTTCAGCTGGCTGTTCTCCGCCTCCAGGCGACGCTTCTGTTGCTTCAGGCAGGCCACGTCCACGGCCACGTTGTTGACCCGTCGCCAGAAGGACTCCATTTGGGGTACCACAGCCACCTCGTCCTTGCAAGGTAAACAAATGGTTTATCACAGTGTAAAATGCGGGAATTAACTAATGCTTTTTACCCACCTTCAGAAGATCTGTGGCTGGATCAGCTAAGGAACCATTACCCTGGTCCTTTATATCTCGAATCTCGATTATCTCCTTGGAGATTTCCGGCAGCTGAAACATCCGCTCCCGCTGGGTTTCCATCTTGGCACAGACCGCAGACAGCTGAGCTAGAGTCTCGCCCTTGGCCGCAGTTTCCTGGAGGAATTCCAAGGCATTGTAGCTCTCCACGGACATGAGCTTGAACAGCTGATGATCCCGGGACACCTCCTGCTCCACACAGGTGCGCAGCTCCCTCAGGCGCTCGGTCAACTGCTGTTTGATGGCCTGCCGCTGCTCCAGTTGCCCCTGTTGCTTGACATAGAACTCCTCGGAGACCAGACGCAAATTGGCCAGCTGGTCCACCAGGTGCTCGATATCGTGGGTCTGCTGGCTGATCTGGAGGGCTGCCTCCTCATCCCGCTGCTTCAGGTCCACGTACTCCGAGTAAAAGCCCTCGATGTGCTGACAGTAGCCGGCCAGAACAGCCTGATACTCCTGCCACAGCTTCTCCAGTCGAGCTTCACCTCTGGAGGTGATCTGCTCCAGCTGCAGTTGCATCTGAAAGTTGCATTCAAATGAACATGTTTTTAACAGCTATTAAATAACCTTTATATTAAAAAATAATCTTTGAAGCGCATTGCACGCAATGGTAAAATGAAGATTGATATGTGACTTGGTTCATTGTGCGTCAGTCACTCTGTAATTTGGATGCCATTCTCCCGAACTATAAATGTAGTGGGCTTAGCTGCTCCTCCATTCAGTTCCCAAGATGAATTTAATTTTGCTGTTGATTGGCTTGAGCTGCGGCATCTGCTCCATTTACGCACTGAAATGCAGATCCCAGGAAGGATTAGGTGAAGCGGAGCTCAAGCGAACTGTGCGCAGCTGCATGCATCGCCAGGACGACGACGAGGATCGAGGACGCGGTGGACAGGGTCGGCAGGGCAAGGGGTATGAGTACGGTTACGGAATGGATCAGGATGAGGAGCAGGACAGGAATCCAGGCAGCAGGGGCGGCTATGGCAATCGCAGGCAACGGGGACTGAGGCAATCGGATGGAAGGAACCACACCAGCAGCGATGGAGGTCAGTGTGTGGCGCAGTGCTTTTTCGAGCAGATGAATATGGTAGGTTTTCCAAGGGACTCCGCTCAAAACCACCTCCAAAATCCACATCCTTAGTAGAAGCAAGAGCTTATCCCCCTCGTTTCTCACACACAGGTGGATGGCAATGGGATGCCCGATCGGCGCAAGGTGAGCTATATGCTGACCAAGGACCTTCGGGATCGGGAGCTGCGCAACTTCTACACGGACACCGTGCAGCAGTGCTTCCGGTATCTGGAGAGCAACGGAAGGGGTCGGCACCACAAGTGCGCGGTGGCCCGGGAACTGGTCAAGTGCATGTCGGAGTACGCGAAGGCGCAGTGCGAGGATTGGGAGGAGCACGGCAACATGCTCTTCAACTAGGAGTAAACTTACCCCACTTTTTAGGTCCTCGCAGCGGTCCAGGAAGCGCTCGTGGTTGTCCCGGATCCCGCCATCGGTGTTCTCCTCCAGCTGATAGAAGACGCACTCCAGTTGCTGCTGCTTCTGGGCATGCATCTCCTTGAACGCGGCGGAGTCCTGCTCCCACTGGCTCAGCACCGCCTGCTTGTCGTCCTCGTAGATCGTCCGGAAGAACTCGATGCGATCTCTGTGGGTATCTGGGTTGGAAATAAGTAATTTTTCGAATTATTCTTACGGCTTATAATACACGTACGTAAAAATACTCTAATAATTTATGGATTTGCTTTGATATATTTGTGAATTCCAATCGTTTTGAAGGAAAGAATCATTAGGTTGTATAATGCAATTGGTTAGATCATAAAATACAATGCTGTGGCTGGGTATTTAGCTTCTGATTAAAAGTTGTCAGATATGGTAAATGTGATTTTCAATGAGGTTATTCCAAAGTTACCAACGATCCTGGTGACATTCTCCATGTGCGACTGCTGCAGATTGGCGTACATATCCTCGGTGGATTCGATGTGAGCGATGAGGCGATGGATCACCTGGTCCTTGCGCTTGAGTGCCTCCTGAAAGAAGGACTCCACATCGACAATTTCGCGGCGCAGCTCTTGGATTTTCACCTGGCGCAAAATGCTGCGCCACTCCTGGTTGATTTTGGCCATGTTGAGTCGCCCAAAGGCGTCCTCCCTTTTGAGTTTGTTCTATGTTGATGAAAAAATATACTCTGTGGATTTTGATTTAGTGTAAATTGGTGGAGTGCAACCTTCATGTACATGGAAATTAGCTGCATTTTCCGGCGTCTCGTCTCTTCCTCCATGTCGGCCCTCATTTGCAAATACCTGGCCCGCTCCTCCTCGGACATTTTGGCCAATTTATTGCCTTTTCCTTTACCCTTTTTGCCCATGATTTAGTTTTATTTGACAGCTATACAAAATCAGCTTATCAAATTTCGAATAGCCAATCTATGGCTAATTAGGCGCAAGAGCAAAGCGCCGCCTCGGAAAATAAATAACAAATTGACTGCCGGCGTTGCCATGACAAGATTCACTAGCCCACCCGCACCCACATCCACATCCGCCAGTCCCACTCCATATAATTTCGCTTTCTGTCGCCAGGTTTGTTGCCATAGTAATGGATGCGAATTAAATTAATGCGGAACATTGCAAAACTCCATTAGGGCTGTCCATCAAAGGGGAACCATTTGACATATAAATCGGAGGCCGAACCGCCGGAATGCAGTCATCTCCATGATGTTGAGAACTGGCTTCGTGATTTGTGTGATTCTATCACTGCTCTGGGTACGAACTCATAAGGGTGTTTTTAATGGATTCCACGCAGCTAATCGGATTTATAGAATATGATAGCAGTTGGGAATCAGTATTCAAGCTCCGATTAAAGCCTTTAATATTTGGATGTTTCCTTCAAGGAGGGACTGCTAGCTATCCGAGTTCACTGCCGGCACACGGAGCGCATTCACGAGGAGAACATCCACCACTGCTGCCAGCATCCCGATGGCCACAACGATGTCACGGAAATGTGCGCCAAGCAGACCAACTTCCGACTGCCCAATCCCGAAGAGGAGGCCATCGAGGATGTGACGGTGGACCAGGCGATGCTCGGCACCTGCTGGGCCAAGTGCGTCTTCGATCACTACAACCTGATGGAGAACAACACGCTGGATATGGTCAAGGTGCGCACGCACTACAAGCGCTACCACCAAACGGATCCGGAGTATGAGACTGAAATGCTGAATGCCTACGAGAAGTGTCACTCGCAATGTGAGCTCATACTTGTAAACATGTGTTTTAAAAATTTAAGTTTCCACTCCCCATTTTAGCTGAGGATGCCACCGAGCAGTTCCTGTCACTGCCAATTATTAGGGCTTTCTCCACCGCCAAGTTCTGTAAGCCGGTCTCGAGCATCATCATGTCCTGCGTCATCTACAACTTCTTCCACAATTGTCCAAAGAATCGCTGGTCAAATACCACCGAGTGCGTGGAAACCCTGGCCTTCGCCAAGAAGTGCAAGGATGTGCTGACTACCATGTAAGCACTTTGCAGTCCTGCCTCAAGGAATAGATTCCAATTGTTGAAACCTACTGGTTTATTCAACGATTAAAGCAAATCAATGGCGCTCAACACATGTATTTTTTTCATGGTTCAATAATAATGGTGGGCGATTAAAAGCTAAATGCACAATCAACTCAATCAAATGGGTTTATCGTTATCTAACCAGCTGCAAAAATTCGCAATTTATTCAAATCAAGTTGATGGTATTCGTTTTACAATAAAACAACCTTGCATACAGAATTGCACTTTTTCTATTTAAAGAAAGTAACATACATCTAGTAAATTGTAAATGTATTGTTCTTTATTGGAGAAAGAGGATATGTTCACAAAGTGGCCAGCGAGTTCTGGCACTTCTTGCTGAAGGCCAGGGTGTCCTCGCACTCCTTGGTCTTGGACCAGCGATCCGCCGGACAGTTGTGGAAGAACTGGCGGATGACGCAGGCCAGGATGACGCTGGACTTGGGATCGCAGAACTGCTGGGACATTTGCTTGAAGAGGGGCTTCGACAGGAACATGGAGGTATTCTCCTCACCTTTGGAGAAATGTATCAGTTAACCGAGAAGTGCCCACTGAATTAACTACTCCATACTTTTGCCGTGACAGTGATCAAAGGCGTTGATCATTTCCTTGACATACTCGGGATCATCGGAGAACCTTTCGGTGAACAAGCTCCTCACGGCATCCATGTCCAAGGCATTGTCCTTCATCAGGTTCAGTTTGCTGAAGACGCACTTGCCAAAGCAAGTACCCCGGATGGCTCGGTCCGCCGTGATGTCCACCAGTGCCTCCTCGTTTTGGTTGGGCAGCGTGAAGTTGGTCTCCTTGGCACATCCTTCGATTACATCGTTGTGTCCATCGGGATGCTTGCAGCAGTAGTGGATGTGCTCCTCATTGATGGCCTCCGTATTCTCGCAATCAATTTTAATGCCCCCAGCACACTAAAACATGTATTTTTGGATATGTAGGCAATGTGATTTCCATCCCAAGAACTCACCCAAATGAGGCTGAAAAAACTGAACAAAAGGGTGCACTTCATAGCGCTGTCGATTCTACCAAAATCAGACCACTTCGACTGCTTATATAGTTATTCACATGTCATTTAAATTAAAATAGGAAATCGCTGCCAATTTGCCAAATGTCTAGCCATCAGGCTGTCTGCAAATGTATCTTTTTCCGCTCATTTAATTCCAGCCATTACAACGGACATTTGTTACATTTAATTAAGCAATCCAATTTGGGCTTAAACGTATTTGTACAAATAATGAGCACTCATGGTTTTATAAATGTTATGACCATTGAAAATAATAACATTCGAAGAGCAATGGTCAACTTCGTTTGTTACTGGACGTTTTTAATTCTGGTGGCCGTTTCAAAGGCTCAGGACGAGGAAACTTCTTCGGTTGCCACAGCTTCAGGTGAATTGACTGAGAAAAAGTGTAACACATCGGTGAGCTTACTTTAAAGCCTTGTAGCAATGGTATTACATTTACAACATTCCTTTAGAGGGATGACTGCTGTTCTGAGCTTTATATAGGGGAAGAGGAGGACCTGGTCAAGTGCTTCGTTATACACTCACCCAAGCTGCCAGCGGATGGAGACGCTGACGTCGGCAAGACCCTGAGGTTTCTTTCGGTGGGTACCTAAAACTTTATGATTATAGTATGCTCTTTGTATCTCCCTTTTCAGTGCTTTGTGGAGTGCCTGTACAAGCAAAAGAAGTACATTGGCAAGAGCGATACTATCAACATGAAGATGGTCAAGCTGGATGCAGAAAAGACCTTTGTGGATCGGCCCAAGGAGAAGGATTATCACATTGCCATGTTCGACGTCTGCCGCAAGGATGCAGTCGGGATCTACAACCTGCTGAAGGCCAGTCCTGGGGCCAAGGTGCTCCTAAAGGAAGCGTGTCGTCCCTATCTCTTGATGGTGTTCATGTGCATCAGCGAATACCATCAGAAGCACGAGTGCCCCTACTTCCGGTGGGAGGGCACTGCGAAGGCAGGAACTAAGGATCTGTGCGAAAGTGCCAAGGCCGAATGCTATCAAATTGATGGAATTACACTGCCCACAAAGAGTCCTGTCTAAAAATACACTTCTCAAAAAGCAAGTGAATTTAAAAACTCAAAAATGTCATGTAATAAAATTAAGCTCATAAACGCAGTATGTCTTTTAGTTTTAGTCACACTTCGTACATAAATTATTCGCACTGATGAATCGGTTTCAAATTCGCTTGGCTGAAGTGGCGGACCAGGATGGGCTCAACAAGCTGTTCCGATCGCCAGGTGTCAAGTGGTTCGGCAATATCCGTCCGAAGTATCGTGGCAAGGACTTCCTGTTCCATTCCTATCAGACCTACAGGATATTGGCTCTTTGCAGTGAGACCTCCGCATTGGTGGCCTACGCCGAATTCCGCAACTATCCCTCCATCGCCGCCTTGCCCATGGATTGCTGGCTGGAGTGGTTGTCCGCCAGATACTGGTACTGATACAGGACCTTAAGTTGTTCAATATACCGCCTATTTGGCATTTATCCTGTAGCTTACCCATGTCGATCAGCTGGCTGAATGCGTTGTTCTTCAACTTTTGCATCTACAAGAGCAACTACTCCACGGTTCTGGTGGAGATCATTAAGGACGTGCTCTACAGGGAGAACAGGGTGTGGTTTCTGATCGCTGTGAGGACTCCGTACGTGTCACAACCCAAGCACTTTGTGGAATCCTTCGAGGACTTGGAGAAAATATGCCAGGTCTTTTATCCACTGGAATACAGCATGGACTGGAATAACAACACACAGTCCTTATACATTGTGGATAGGTTCGTCCTTCTGCCGAGGATTACTTACCGGAAGGCACTGTAAGTTCTGTTATGTTCCTTCTTCAAAATTTCTTCGAATTATCAAAAATAGCATATGAAATGCTGAAATGCAAGTGCCTTGACTGATTTGTATAGAGTATTTAAATATAAAAGGCATTTTCAAAAAGCGGCAGACTAATCAGTTTGTCTGAAATTGATATTGCCTACTAAGATTTAACATTTTTTAAATGTCAATTTATCTTAATCGGATTTTGATGTATGTCAATTTTTCTGATGTATGATGTTGTAGAAATCGAAAAAAAATGAAAAAATGTCCCAAGGCTGAATTTCTAAACTCCATAACTCAACTTATTTTAATCGGATTTTGAAGTGGCATACCTCTAAATGTTTCTGGCGCAATTCTCTAAAAATCTGCATTCAAATTTAGAAATTTATTTTTTTTGAATTTTTTTTCAATTTTTCTGATGTATGATGTTGTAGAAATCGAAAAAAGGCCCTCAGGCTGAATTTCTAAACTCCATAACTCAACTTATTTTAATCGGATTTTGAAGTGGCATACCTCTAAATGTTTCTGGCGCAATTCTCTAAAAATCTGCGTTCAAATTTAGAAATTTATTTTTTTGGAATATTTTTTCAATTTTTCTGATGTATGATGTTGTAGAAATCGAAAAAAGGCCCTCAGGCTGAATTTCTAAACTCCATAACTCAACTTATTTTAATCGGATTTTGAAGTGGCATACCTCTAAATGTTTCTGGCGCAATTCTCTCAAAATCTGCATTCAAATTTAGAAATTTATTTTTTTTGAATTTTTTTTTCATTTTTTCTGATGTATGATGTTGTAGAAATCGAAAAAAGGCCCTCAGGCTGAATTTCTAAACACCATAACTCAACTTATTTTAATCGGATTTTGAAGTGGCATACCTCTAAATGTTTCTGGCGCAATTCTCTAAAAATCTGCATTCAAATTTAGAAATTTATTTTTTTGGAATTTTTTTTCAATTTTTCTGATGTATGATGTTGTAGAAATCGAAAAAAGGCCCTCAGGCTGAATTTCTAAACTCCATAACTCAACTTATTTTAATCGGATTTTGAAGTGGCATACCTCTAAATGTTTCTGGCGCAATTCTCTAAAAATCTGCATTCAAATTTAGAAATTTATTTTTTTGGAATTTTTTTTCAATTTTTCTGATGTATGATGTTGTAGAAATCGAAAAAAGGCCCTCAGGCTGAATTTCTAAACTCCATAACTCAACTTATTTTTATCGGATTTTGAAGTGGCATACCTCTAAATGTTTCTGGCGCAATTCTCTAAAAATCTGCATTCAAATTTAGAAATTTATTTTTTTTGAATTTTTTTTTTCAATTTTTCTGATGTATGATGTTGTAGAAATCGAAAAAAGGCCCTCAGGCTGAATTTCTAAACACCATAACTCAACTTATTTTAATCGGATTTTGAAGTGGCATACCTCTAAATGTTTCTGGCGCAATTCTCTAAAAATCTGCATTCAAATTTAGAAATTTATTTTTTTGGAATTTTTTTTCAATTTTTCTGATGTATGATGTTGTAGAAATCGAAAAAAGGCCCTCAGGCTGAATTTCTAAACTCCATAACTCAACTTATTTTAATCGGATTTTGAAGTGGCATACCTCTAAATGTTTCTGGCGCAATTCTCTAAAAATCTGCATTCAAATTTAGAAATTTATTTTTTTTGATTTTTTTTTCAATTTTTCTGATGTATGATGTAGAAATCCAAAAAAATGAAAAAATGTCCCAAGGCTGAATTTCTAAACTCCATAACTCAACTTATTTTAATCGGATTTTGAAGTGGCATACCTCTAAATGTTTCTGGCGCAATTCTCTAAAAATCTGCATTCAAATTTAGAAATTTATTTTTTTTGAATTTTTTTTTCAATTTTTCTGATGTATGATGTTGTAGAAATCGAAAAAAGGCCCTCAGGCTGAATTTCTAAACTTCATAACTCAACTTATTTTAATCGGATTTTGAAGTGGCATACCTCTAAATGTTTCTGGCGCAATTCTCTAAAAATCTGCGTTCAAATTTAGAAATTTATTTTTTTGGAATATTTTTTCAATTTTTCTGATGTATGATGTTGTAGAAATCGAAAAAAGGCCCTCAGGCTGAATTTCTAAACTCCATAACTCAACTTATTTTAATCGGATTTTGAAGTGGCATACCTCTAAATGTTTCTGGCGCAATTCTCTCAAAATCTGCATTCAAATTTAGAAATTTATTTTTTTTGAATTTTTTTTTCATTTTTTCTGATGTATGATGTTGTAGAAATCGAAAAAAGGCCCTCAGGCTGAATTTCTAAACACCATAACTCAACTTATTTTAATCGGATTTTGAAGTGGCATACCTCTAAATGTTTCTGGCGCAATTCTCTAAAAATCTGCATTCAAATTTAGAAATTTATTTTTTTGGAATTTTTTTTCAATTTTTCTGATGTATGATGTTGTAGAAATCGAAAAAAGGCCCTCAGGCTGAATTTCTAAACTCCATAACTCAACTTATTTTAATCGGATTTTGAAGTGGCATACCTCTAAATGTTTCTGGCGCAATTCTCTAAAAATCTGCATTCAAATTTAGAAATTTATTTTTTTGGAATTTTTTTTCAATTTTTCTGATGTATGATGTTGTAGAAATCGAAAAAAGGCCCTCAGGCTGAATTTCTAAACTCCATAACTCAACTTATTTTTATCGGATTTTGAAGTGGCATACCTCTAAATGTTTCTGGCGCAATTCTCTAAAAATCTGCATTCAAATTTAGAAATTTATTTTTTTTGAATTTTTTTTTTCAATTTTTCTGATGTATGATGTTGTAGAAATCGAAAAAAGGCCCTCAGGCTGAATTTCTAAACACCATAACTCAACTTATTTTAATCGGATTTTGAAGTGGCATACCTCTAAATGTTTCTGGCGCAATTCTCTAAAAATCTGCATTCAAATTTAGAAATTTATTTTTTTGGAATTTTTTTTCAATTTTTCTGATGTATGATGTTGTAGAAATCGAAAAAAGGCCCTCAGGCTGAATTTCTAAACTCCATAACTCAACTTATTTTAATCGGATTTTGAAGTGGCATACCTCTAAATGTTTCTGGCGCAATTCTCTAAAAATCTGCATTCAAATTTAGAAATTTATTTTTTTTGATTTTTTTTTCAATTTTTCTGATGTATGATGTAGAAATCCAAAAAAATGAAAAAATGTCCCAAGGCTGAATTTCTAAACTCCATAACTCAACTTATTTTAATCGGATTTTGAAGTGGCATACCTCTAAATGTTTCTGGCGCAATTCTCTAAAAATCTGCATTCAAATTTAGAAATTTATTTTTTTTGAATTTTTTTTTCAATTTTTCTGATGTATGATGTTGTAGAAATCGAAAAAAGGCCCTCAGGCTGAATTTCTAAACACCATAACTCAACTTATTTTAATCGGATTTTGAAGTGGCATACCTCTAAATGTTTCTGGCGCAATTCTCTAAAAATCTGCATTCAAATTTAGAAATTTATTTTTTTTGAATTTTTTTTCAATTTTTCTGATGTATGATGTTGTAGAAATCGAAAAAAGGCCCTCAGGCTGAATTTCTAAACACCATAACTCAACTTATTTTAATCGGATTTTGGAGTGGCATACCTCTAAATGTTTCTGGCGCAATTCTCTAAAAATCTGCATTCAAATTTAGAAATTTATTTTTTTTGATTTTTTTTCAATTTTTCTGATGTATGATGTTGTAGAAATCGAAAAAAGGCCCTCAGGCTGAATTTCTAAACTCCATAACTCAACTTATTTTAATCGGATTTTGAAGTGGAATACCTCTAAATGTTTCTGGCGCAATTTTCTAAAAATCTGCATTCAAATTTAGAAATTTATTTTTTTTGAATTTTTTTTCAATTTTTCTGATGTATGATGTTGTAGAAATCGAAAAAAGGCCCTCAGGCTGAATTTCTAAACACCATAACTCAACTTATTTTAATCGGATTTTGAAGTGGCATACCTCTAAATGTTTCTGGCGCAATTCTCTAAAAATCTGCATTCAAATTTAGAAATTTATTTTTTTTGATTTTTTTTTTCAATTTTTCTGATGTATGATGTAGAAATCCAAAAAAATGAAAAAATGTCCCAAGGCTGAATTTCTAAACTCCATAACTCAACTTATTTTAATCGGATTTTGAAGTGGCATACCTCTAAATGTTTCTGGCGCAATTCTCTAAATATCTGCATTCAAATTTAGAAATTTATTTTTTTTGAATTTTTTTTCAATTTTTCTGATGTATGATGTTGTAGAAATCGAAAAAAGGCCCTCAGGCTGAATTTCTAAACACCA